CCAATTAATAAAGCATAAACGCTTCGTGATGCTTTTGGTAATTTTCCTTGCCCCCGGTTACCCGTACCCCGGATTTTGCCCTGGGCACCGTAGAACTGCCCATATATATATATATATAGTAGAGATAGGAGTACCTATCTATAGGGCGGGCTCTCATGACAGAGATGCACTACTCCATCTGGAAAGGGATTTCCCTCGAAGGCCAGAAGGGAGTAAAAAAATGAATAGAAAAAATCCCAAACACAAACTGACCCGTCTCGCCCCTCAAAGACAAGACGGGTCAAGACAGATCAATGGGTCTTCCAGGTCAAACTTACACCACTACTTATTTGCAAACCAATCTGTTCGTGGGCCAATATGTCAATTTGATTGAACTCATAGAGAAGCTAGAAGCCCATAAGGGCGATATATAATGCCTTCCAGCCCCCTTGAAAACGAGTTTTATAACATTTCCTTGTGCCAAAGAAAGACAATTCCAATGTTGCTTCTCGTAGAAATCCAGGATTGTCGCCCAGGAAGTGGATCAGGTGCATAACCTTGTGGTTAATAACTATGCATAACCCAATCAGAATCCGCCACATCAACGCCTATTTTCTCTTCTGAAAAGCCTTTAATTCCCCCCTCCTCTTAATCTTTAACGGACGATTTCTCACTAGTTTTAAGTCAGAATTTTTTTTTTTTTTGCACAATTAGATCAGATTAATTATTCTCTTCAAAATGATATCCACTTTGATATATTTTTGGAACAAAAATAATTGAGCCATTTTTTACCAGTCTATACCATGTGATATTGACTGGTATTGAAATAAAGAGCATATCATATGGTATGAAAGTGTACTATGATTTTCAGGAAACGAAGATGGCTCACGTCAATGAGGATCAAGTAGTGCAGTTCTCTCTTGAGGAGGTCCAGTCCACGAGATTTCGAGCCTCCCGCACCTTGCTGGGGAGATTGTTCACAAACACTAGAATGACCCCAATGGTACTGCTAGAGGAGGTGAATGCTCATTGGATGGGAAGGGGCCAAATTCGAGTTGCCCAGGCCAAACATTGCCTTTTCGAATTTGTGTTGCCTAGAGAAGAAGCCAAAATTTGGGTTCTGAAGACTTCCCCGTGGGTCGTGCAGGATAAGCTTCTCGTACTAAGGTCATGGTTGCCTAATATCACGAGAAGCATATTTGATGACCTGGCGGTAGCCCCATTTCGCATCCAGCTTTGGGGAGTCAAAGAGGATTGTTGTACCAAACAATTTGGGCAAAATATGATATCCAAGGCAATTGGGCAGGTGGTGGAATCTGGAGTCTATGCCTGCAAAGAGACTGGCGAGCTCTTTATTAAAGTGAAGTCGCTGATTGACTTCACTAAACCCCTGCGTTCTCAGCTTATGGCTATTTGTGATGAAACTGGTAATTTCTGGGTGAACCTAAAATATGAGCACCTACCCAGTTTTTGCTTTCACTGTGGCCGTGTAGGTCATTTGCAGAGAGAATGCTCCTTTGAGCCGCCGGCCAGAAAGGAAATATATGGTTTCCATATGTCGACGAAGAAACAGGGTCGAAAAGTATAGGATCAGGAGGAAACTCACCAACCCTACGGAGGGGCTCGAAGAACCGTCTGGGTTAACAAAGAGTTCCGGGGAAATTTTGGAAATGCTCGCATGGCGGGGAGGATGCAAGGCCCAGCGGCGGGAGGTGATCACCGAAAGGAACAGCAGCCTATTGTCCGCAATAATAAGGTTGTCCCTCCTCATCATACTCATCTGGATGAAAGGGGTCAAGTTCCTTGGACTCGCACGATGTCCTCTCCCCTTCGTATCAGCCTTAGGGGATTCAACATTTCAAAATCACCTCACTTCAGTACGAGGGGTATCAAAATTTCAAAGTCACCTAAACTCCATCTTGGGAGTGGGCCAGGCAGGAACCTTGGTCAGCAAGGCCGGCCAACCAAGAGGGCACAACGGGAAGTGCGTCCGATGGAGGGGGATGGTGAGATGAATGAAGGGGAGCGGCTCTCGGCCCGGGGAAAGCAGCAGGGCGAAGCTTCCGTTCATGAGACGATTGAGGCTAGTCGAAGGCAAAGGATGATCCTTTTAGAGGATAGTGATGACGATTTCGAATTTCAGGGAGTGGAGTCTGTCGCGGTGCCTCGCTCGGTGACCCATGCACATGTGCCTTCCCCCATGCAGCCTGCTGTCACCAGCTCGTCTGATGTTAATGAGGCTCGTGCTGGGAGCAAAGTCGGAGATCAAGCGGGCCGGGACAAGCATCCTCAGCGGATGGACAAGTCCAAGAAGCAGACGTCCATTCTGCGAAAGGCTGCTCGTGGCGTCCAAGGTGAAACGGCGGTAGCTAGCAAGCCGAAGTGGATCGGGAATGCCCCTAAACGCAAGCTCAAGAAACGGGTTGCCCCTTTGGGTGCGGCGGAGAGTGTGAAGGACCAGGCGATGGCCCTAGAGACTGTGAATCCATTACCTGCTTTGAGTAACTCGGCCTTGATGTGCAACTCGGCTTTGGTGGACACTCCGTCTGAGGATGATGCTCAGTCCTTTAAGCAAAAGCAACGCTCGCCTGTTGCTACTGGAGCTGGTGCTCGGAATATGGTGAAGGGTCACGTTAGACAAGTCGTAGCTGCCTTCGAATCTGGCCTGGTCCTGGAAGACGAAAATACTACACTCGTGACACATGGTATTCAGGGGGACGATATAACGCTGGGAGCGGTGATTGATGAGTATGGCTCTAACCTCCCGAAGGTCTCTGTGGAAGGGTGCGAAACCTAGAGGAGGTCGAAGGTGAGAAGGGAGAGGGTCCCACCCCCAAAAAGCAATTTGTGGAAGTTTCGGAGACTGATGATAAGGTGGAGGAAGCCAGCCTGAAATGGCCCCAATCAGATAAATGAGGCTTTTGGCCTGGAATGTGAGAGGAATTGGGCCCTCCCTCACATTCCAAACTGTTGTCGGTTTAATTTATTCGAATAAACCGGACCTTGTTTTCTTTTCAGAGACAAGATCGCGCCGGAGAGTCGTTTCCCGTCGTATGAGGGGTTTAGGATTTGATGTTTCGCACTGTTTTTTGTGGATGCTATCAATGCATCAGGTGGTCTTGTAACCGGTTGGGCCCCCGAAGTTGACGCTTCGGTTGTTTTTCATTCGAATTTCTGCATTTGTATTAGTGCTAATGAAATTTGTCCTATATTGCGGTCTTCGTTTACATTAGCTGTGTTGCTACTGTTCGCGCTAGCCAATTGGCTAAGCTTCATTGTGTTTGTGATTCCTTTGATGTGCCGTATGTGGTTTTGGGAGACTTCAATGTAACTCTCCAAGCGAGTGAGAAAGATGGAGGCCTCCATGATCCGGGGTTTTTGGGTGACCCGTTTACTTGGTCCAATCGACGTATGGGAAAGGCATGCATCCGGGCGCGCCTGGACAGAGCTCTCTGCTCACATCCTTTGACTTTTGTTTCCCGATACTCAGGTCAAACATTTCACGGACCAGGGCTCTGATCATCGTGCTTTGATTTTATCATATAAGCCTTATGAACGCCGTAGTCGACCGCTGTTCAGATTTGACGCTCGTTGGGCGGACAATCCGGAGGTGAGAGCGATGGTGTCATATGTCTGGCAGGAGGATATTCCAGGCACTCCCATGTATCAACTCTATGAGAATCTAAAGAAGTTGCGCCATTTGTTATATGATTGGAGTAGGGCGGGCACTACTAATTCTCTCCGGAATATTCGAACCATTCAGACTGAGGTGGATCGGATCAAATCAAACCTCCCCATTGATTGGGATGCAGTGAGGGTCCTGGTAACGGAACTAAACAGGCAATGGGAGGCTGAAGAGATCTATTGGCAACAGAAATCGAGAGTCCGCTGGCTAAAACGAGGTGATAAAAATTCATCATATTTTCATACGGTGACGCGGGCTCATCGAAAACATAACTTTGTTGCTGGTCTACGAAATAATGAAGGGGAGTGGATAATTGATGAGGGAGGCAAGGCGGATATTGCTATTGATTTTTACCAATCCCTATTTACATCGGAAAATCAGGTGGTGAACATGGCGGAGCGGGTGGACAATCTCCCAATCGATTGTCGAGTTACTGCGACAATTAGGGCTGGAAGTTTGGTACCGGTATTTGGGATATACCAAATACCGTAACGAATTTGTCTCTATTTGGTGTTACCGAATACACGTATTATTTTGTGGGATTGGGATTGGAATTGCATTTCAATTATTATTCGGTATTAGGGATTACGGGATTGGGATCGGTATATACCAAAATACCGATCAATACCGAAATATAAGCTAGTGTGTATTTTATCCTCTCAACTAGACTCTCTCATTCACTACTACGCGACCATCAACCACCAAAAGTATCATTTAATTATACATAGATCATTACATCACTATTTCACACTAGTATTAGTCGTCTCTCAACCTCAAATTCGTCAAATTAAAGATTACCAATTACAAGAACTTGAGATGTTAGCTCTAGGAAACTCAAGACTATTTGCTTAGTCTCTTTACCCTAAATTAAAAAATAAAATCTAATTTATATATTTAATTATTAATTACAAAGGTAATTAATTATGTATTCGATAATACCGATTGGGATAATGAGGTACCGATTGGGATACCGAAATTATTTAAGGATTGGGATTGGGATACCAAAATTATTTAGGGATTGGGATTGGGATTGATTTTAGGGTGTAATTCGGTTAATACGCCCCTAGGGGGGGTGTATGTTATCAAAGTCACGCAGCTAACGACTCAATCGAAGGATCGATTGAGCTCGAATCAAGAACGAAGCGTTCTTAATACGAACTTGGATAAAACGGAACCAAAAGGACGATTCCACACCTGGGAAACGCTCGATTGGTATAAAAGGTAGATGCCCGACCACGATTGAAGTGACTATTAAATCGATACAAGAGCTCACGAGCTTGGAATCCACCAAACTCAACACAAGTCGCAACTTGCACAAAAACCAAAAGGTTCTCAATTCGATTAATCAAAGTCTTCTGTTTTACAACGTAAATAGAACGGTATTTAAAGGCAAATAAAACCTAATACAAATCTAGATGAACAAGGAAACAATTAAGGTAAAAAAAAAACTCTAAAAAGGACTCTAAATTCGGCCATAAACTTCCTTTCTTGAAGCACAAGTAAGCTGCCCGCAAAACAGTCAAAAGGCAGCTTTCGTACTAACTTCGCGCCTTTCGTTCGAGACCTTCCAGAACTCCGATCTTTCATCCGATTCCTTCCCTTGGTAGATAAACATACCTAGTTTCATGTTGTAGAAGCCTTTGGTCTCGAATCAGATCCATGCTCCTTGAATTGAGCTCCAAAGTAGGCTTCACAAAACAGTTTTCTGCCTTAGCCATTTTCTGGCAGTTTTCCAGTTTTGAGGTAGCAACTTTGAGGCCTTGGAAAACAATCTTAATGACATCATCTGGCTCCATAAAGCATACCATTGGAAAGATGGTAACTTGATCTGCAAAACAAACCCTTAAACTTGAATTTCCACCAAGCACATTGAGAGAACCATGCCTCCAAAGTATGTACCCTGAACACGGATTTTGACTTAGCCAAATTCTGCCCTTCTTCTTCCCAACTTTGATAGCTTCTTTGTCAACTAATCGTGACATGAATAGTTGGCCAATTTGGATCATATCAGGCTCCCCCTCTTCAAAAAGCTTTGCCCTCAAAGCTTGATCTTTTAACCAGGCTCTGATACCACTTAATACGCCCCTAGGGGGGGTGTATGCTATCAAAGTCACGCAGCTAACGACTCAATCGAAGGATCGATTGAGCTCGAATCAAGAACGAAGCATTCTTAATACGAATTTGGATAAAACGGAACCAGAAGGACGATTCCACACCTGGGAAACGCTCGATTGGTATAAAAGGTAGATGCCCGACCACGATTGAAGTGACTATTAAATCGATACAAGAGCTCACGAGCTTGGAATCCACCAAACTCAACACAAGTCGCAACTTGCACAAAAACCAAAAGGTTCTCAATTCGATTAATCAAAGTCTTCTGTTTTACAACGTAAATAGAACGGTATTTAAAGGCAAATAAAACCTAATACAAATCTAGATGAACAAGGAAACAATTAAGGTAAAAACAAACTCTAAAAAGGACTCTAAATTCGGCCATAAACTTCCTTTCTTGAAGCACAAGTAAGCTGCCCGCAAAACAGTCAAAAGGCAGCTTTCGTACTAACTTCGCGCCTTTCGTTCGAGACCTTCCAGAACTCCGATCTTTCATCCGATTCCTTCCCTTGGTAGATAAACATACCTAGTTTCATGTTGTAGAAGCCTTTGGTCTCGAATCAGATCCATGCTCCTTGAATTGAGCTCCAAAGTAGGCTTCACAAAACAGTTTTCTGCCTTAGCCATTTTCTGGCAGTTTTCCAGTTTTGAGGTAGCAACTTTGAGGCCTTGGAAAACAATCTTAATGACATCATCTGGCTCCATAAAGCATACCATTGGAAAGATGGTAACTTGATCTGCAAAACAAACCCTTAAACTTGAATTTCCACCAAGCACATTGAGAGAACCATGCCTCCAAAGTATGTACCCTGAACACGGATTTTGACTTAGCCAAATTCTGCCCTTCTTCTTCCCAACTTTGATAGCTTCTTTGTCAACTAATCGTGACATGAATAGTTGGCCAATTTGGATCATATCATCGGTATTCGGGATTTCGGTATTTGGTATTGGGATACCGGTACCGTACCGATTTCCACCCCTAGCGACAATGAATGCTTCTCTTACGGCAGATGTTTTGCCACAAGAAGTGAGGGCCACTGTTTTTTCCATGGGATCTAAACATGCCCCTGGGTCAGATGGGTTCACAGGCAAATTCTTCAAAACTTTTTGGGACATTGTTGGGGATTCTGTGATTACTGCGGTTTGTTCGTTCTTTCAACGAGCAGGATGCTCCGTAGCTTCAATCACACTTGGCTGACATTAATCCCGAAAGTTGAAAATGTTGAATCTGTGCGGCAGCTTCGGCCCATAAGCCTTTGCCAGTTCGCTTATAAGATTATCACGAAAATCATGACAGAGAGGTTGTCAAGTCTCCTCCGACAATCATCACGGAAGGTCAAAATGCTTTCATTCGGGAGAGACAGATTGTGGACAATGTTTTACTTGGGCATGAGTTAATGCACTATCTGAAGATAAAATCTCGGAGAAAGAAAGGATACATGGCTCTGAAGGTTGACATGGAAAAGGCCTATGATAGAGTCGAATGGTCCTTTCTCCTTGCAGTGATGTCTAAGATGGGCTTTAACTCTGTCTGGTGTGGATGGGTTCATGAATGTCTTAAATCGTCTTCGTTCTCGGTAATGATGAATGGCCCCCCGAAAGGGTTCTTTGCGCCCACCCGCAGCCTTCGGCAGGGCGATCCACTCTCTCCTCTTTTGTTTGTAATTTGTATAGAGGGGTTTGCGGCCCTTCTAAGGAAGGCGGTGGCTGAGAATAAGCTTCAAGGTATTAAAGTGGCACCGCGATCCCCCGAATCTCACATCTCTTTTTGCGGATGATTCCTATTTGTACCTTCGAGGATCTCTCCGAGAATGTGAGAACCTGGTCACTGTACTAGATGAATATGAGGAACTAAGTGGTCAACGGGTCAACCTAGCAAAGTCAGCAGTGTGCTTTAGTAAAAATATCGCTACTCCTGATCAAGAATTTTTGGGTCAGGTGCTGGGTGTAGGGGCAGTGGGTGTCCATGACAAATACTTGGGGTTTCCCTCGCTGATTGCAAGGTCCAAGAAGGTGACTTTCGATATCCCGAAGAGAAGCTCCTTGCACGGTTGCAGGGATGGAAGCAGCGGACATTGTCCTGGGCGGCAAAGGAAACTTTAATAAAGTCCGTGGTCTTAGCCCTTCCTCTTCATGTTATGTCCTGCTTTAAACTCCCCCTCTCTCTTTGCCGACTCTTGGACAAGCATGTGGCCCGGTTTGGGTGGGGGATGGAGAACGGTCAGGCTAAAATTCATTGGATGTCGTGGCGGAACATGTGTCGTAGTAAACATGAGGGAGGGATGGGATTTCGCCGGTTCGAGCACTTTAATCAAGCTTTGTTAGCTAAGATTGGGTGGCGAATTTTAAATGAACCAGATTCATTGCTGGCTCAGGTCTATAAAGGGAAGTATTTTCCAAGGGGAACTTTTCTTGAGGCGAAGGCGCGATCTCGCCCCTCCTGGGGGTGGCAACGTATTCTTTTTGGACGCCAGCTGTTGGAACAAAGGCTTCAGTGGCAAATTGGAAATGGACAATCGGCTCCATTACTAGGGAGTAGTTGGGTCCCAGCCATGTACCCTATGGTCCCTACTTTTAACCCTTGTGTCTTGCCTGCGGATGGGGAGTTACGGGTTGCTGCGGTTATAAACTCCGACGAGGGAGGCTGGTGTGACTCTGGGTTAGCCCAATGGTTTGATCCCACCACTTGTCGTGCCATTAAGGAGATTCCGCTACCGCGTGATAATGTTGAGGATCGTTTAATTTGGCATGGTACCTCGGATGGGTTATTCACAGTGAAAACAACGTATCATTTGGCGGTCCAGTTGGACAAGAAGGATGCAGGTGGCGATCTTTAGCTAGTTGGATGGACAGATCTAGTTGGATCAGAATCTGGGCAGCTCCGGTTCCTCCCAAGCTAAGGGTCTTCCTCTGGCAAATCTTCAACCGGCTGCTTCCCACCACGGAAGCTCTGAGAGAAAGGAAGGTCCAGGTCCATCCCCGGTGCCCAGTTTGTTGGGCTGACTCGGAGACCGTGGATCATATGGTATCTTCTTAGTTTTTAATTCGTTTTTGAAAACGTTTGCACAGAAGGAACGAGTTCATCATGATCTATTGGATCTACAAATTTCTGGGATCTATTCAATCATCCTACAGTCTTGGTTTGTTCATACCACCATGTACGCTTTTCAAACCATAGGTATGCTCTTATTTCAATACCAGTCAATACCATATGGTATAGACTGGTAAAAAATGACTCAATTTTTTTGTTCGAAAAATATATCAAAGTGGATATCATTTTGAAGAGCACAATTAATCTGATCTAACTGTGCAAAAAAAATTAATTTTTGACTTAAAACGAGTGAAAAATCGTCCGTCAAAGATTAAAGAGGAAAAAATTAAAGGCTTTTCAAGAAAGATATTTATATCATATTAATGTAGATGAGTTACTCATTGTTACTCACCATAAAATTACCACCCGATGATTCAACGAAAAAAAAAATTACCACCCGATCTGCCCGTTATGCACCCTATTTTGATCAGTTACCCCTATTAAGTAAGTCCAAACTCCAACCCCGCCGACTAAATTACCGGCCTCAACCAAAACTTGTCCTTGCTATTTTTTCCCATTTAGCTCCTACTAGATAGTTTTGCCAAAGAAGTCCATATAGTCTATGGTTTACCCGTTTTCGGTCCTTTTTTAAATATTGCAATCTACATGATAATCCAATCCTGAAGCCAGCAGATGTTAAGAAGCTGATTGTCTAATGGCAACTGTTAATAGTTAACATACCGCCGCCTCCTGCAAGTTCTGATGTGTCCTGAAAACCTCTTCAGTCATTTCCCGCCATTCAAACCTCGAAAGAGCATTTCTAAGTTCTAACTCAGCATCAGACTAAGTCAGTTTTTATACATACTTGTACATCAAGTCATCAAACCGCGACATATTATGACACATGACGCTATGTTGGTTTGTATCTCATTACAATACCAAGACTAAATATACCCTTTATTCTACAGATATAGAAAAGTATTTACATCTTATCCTCTTGCCCTCTTCCCGGATCAGAAACCACTGGTTTGGACACCTTGCATGCTCAGCACTGGCAGACTTTCCTTTGGGATTTGCCTCATTCTCAACATATTGCCATACTTCCTGCATTACCTGTACACTTCTACATCCCAAAACATGGACCAGCCTCAAAATGGTCCTCAAACACATCACTAGCGTTTGCAACTCGTCCTATGTCATGCAGCACTATAATCTCGAGCGGCGGAAGCGTTTCAAGGCCTGCAGATGAGAGCGCTTACTTGCAGAAGCAACAGGTTGTCCATTGAGGCATCCAGAAAACCTAATATCCCATCCATCCACATACTTGGGAACACAAGCATCGAAGAGCACTTGGCCAAGAACACCATGAGGGCTTATCCTGGGGGGGCTGCTTAGGTTTATAGAGGAGTTCTCTTTCCTTTCATCTTGTGGAGATTCTGACTCTTTATTATTCTGGTCTTTGGAAGAACTTTGTCCAAAGAAGTCATCATTGGGCAGAACCGGTGGTACTCTTCTTAATCCTTCATTTGAGTCGACTGCCACTTGCTGAAGGTCGCATACTAAATTGGATATTTGGTGATGCATACCATCCATCTTTAGTCCCTCTTGGAGTTGTTGGATTCTTTGGCAATAAACTGATGTGGCCTTCTCTAGCAAATTGGTCACTGCTGTGCTGTACGTGGTTGGATGATACTTGTAATGACCTGGGAAAACAATATGATACAAAATTATATGAATATGGTGCGAATGGATCACTTAGAAGTAAGAAACAAAGAACCAATCATTTTTAAGTATCACAGTGCCTATATATTCCAACATGTTCTAGTGAAATCATGAAAAAACAGAAGCACAGAAAGAAAAACTAACGGGTTAAATATAAAGTATTCTTTTAAGAGACCTGCTTGGTGTTCTTGAGCCAACAACATGCATTTTCCATGAGCCGGTAATCAAGAGAACAACAAAAAGTGTTTTCAGGTTCAAGTGCTGAAGACTCCTGTGATATCTACTCTAGCCCATTTTCAGCCTACAGTAATACCATCTTTCAATCCATAGTGTCATTTCTCAAGCAGAACATGTTCAAAAGAACAATTATGACTCTGTCGATGCCTACTTACAGTACTTAATGATATAGACATAAGATGGCTAGTTATCAAGGAATGAAATAAATTCATAATAGCTTGGGAATAATCAACAACTTGAGGTCCCTTGCTCTTATGAGCACAGCGGCTATCTTTTAGCTCAGTCGCTACCCTCTACTAAAATCATGGCATAGCTGATCATATAGAAGACTACAGAAGGAAGAGAATACAAATCAGACCTAGGTGAGGAGAAGCATTCAACTTCACAAGTGCAACATCAGCCCCAAGTACTTGTAGTTGATGTTTGAATTCACAGATAACATTGCAAGGTGCAATCTCATCATCAGCTGAGCATAAAATCAGGTATGGGGCTCCTAACTCCTGAAAAAAGAGAGAGCGAACACATATGAATCATTACGAAGTGGGATAAAACAGAGGCTTCAAGCACAGAGTTAGTTCAGGTTTCAACTTACAACTGATGAGTACAGATTCTGCCAATACTGTGTTCGTTGGTACTCAAACCTGGTAAGGTACAAACCATCAAGACCAGAAGTGACCCCTTTTGCAAACCAAGACATGAGTTTTGACGGGCCGGGCATTTTCTGAATGGCTGGAAGAGCAAACCGGGCAGCCAAATCACTCGTAAAGTCTACTGGGCTAGAATCATAGATATGGCCAGAAAAGCAGTTTCCGATTAAACGACTTTCATCCTGCACCAAAAAAGTAAGCAATTAGAACAAGAGGAATAAGGGAAAATATGGTACGATGGAGATTCAACTATTAAGCAAGGAATATACCAGGTTAAGATGACCTTCACAAGAACCTTGGATGATCTGCAAGACATATGATAAGGTTGAGTCAATTAAATCAAGTGAAAAAATGACAACAGCCAAAAAAGGAAGAAAGAACAAAAGAAACAGTTTATGGACCCATGCAATCAAGATTCTGAAACATCATGAATAAGTTCTCTTTTCCTTTCTAAGAAACTGTTCACTGAAACACTCACAGAGCCTACCTGAAAAACCTTGGACATGCAAGCTTTTGAACCACCAGAAAGAGCCACAAAGACAACTGGACATGGCCGAACCCTTAGCTCCTACATACATCAGTTTGATGGTGAACAAATATTTCAATTCATTCATCAAATTTGAAAGAAAAAACGAAAAACATCTGAGGAACTCCCATGTTCTACGACCATGATGATGACTGATCTAGTGAGGGCCATACTGAACATTGCATACAGCTCATGCAAGGTTCCACTCCATACAATGTATTTGAGATGTAAGCCTAGAATCCTAAACTATGACCCATAAACCAAGACAGTATGTAAGTTAGCTGACCTGGACAAGTTCACTGAGGAGAAGAAACGCCAAAGAAATGGCTCTCTCGGGATAAAACCTGCAAAAACAGAGCATCATCGAGCATCAAGTGTACTATCTAGTTCCTGAATGCAGAAGAGACGAATCAAAAAGACGTAAACCTGCAAGCTTCACAGACCCACCCAAACTTTCAGAAATCTAACACCCTTATGGTACTATTCTTGGTAGACTAGTATAATTCTCTAAACTTGAGTCAACCCTAACCACACTAAGTATGATGTTCATTTGCGTTTTCCCACATAACATCCTGAACCTTGCAAGCCTTCTTTTCAGCTCAAATTCACCCCCCTTTCATGTTCCCAGAACACAAACAGAGCCATAAGAAAGAAACAAGCAAGCAGATTCAGAGAGAGAGAGGGTTACGCGGTGAGGAAATCGGCATGGGAAACGAGAGAATTCCAACCGAGAGAGGAATACAAATCGACAAGGCTCCTCAAATCCCCAGGGTGAGCGGAAACCCAAGCGAATATCACCACAATCCCTTTGAATTCCCTCCTCCTCCTCCCCCAATAAACACTCCCTCCTCCGCCGCCGAACATTGCAGAAATCGTAGCTGCAGCTACTAGCGCTGCTTTGCTTAAAACCAGAGCAGGAAGCACGGAGGAGAACTCGCTCTCATTCAGGTTCAGCTGAGGATGAAGAAGAAGATGAAGAAGCGATAGGGAATGGCACTAGGTGGGCTATTGCGTCCGGATTTGGTGAATTTTTTGGAGTCCGTTTTTTGTTTCCGGGTTTTCTCTTGTTTTCTGTTGTATTCTGGTTTTGGTCGCAAGCGCTCATTTGCGGAAAATATGTGGGCTCCAGTGATGGTGGTGGTGATGAATGATAGTGATCCATCAGTTCGGGTGGGGATGAATTTTTATTTATTTTAATTTTGCTTTCTAATAATTTTTGCAGTGCCTTGCCACGGATAATTAAAATTATATCGGATGTGCCATGTCAACTCATATTATCATCACCAGCTTGAGTGTGCGAACATCATTATTTTAAGCCTAATACCGGGAAAAGACAACTAGTTTAGACTTTGTGCCATTTGTACTTCTATATTTATCTCGGGTTAGTTATGTCCCAACTTTTACACTATGTTTCCGAAGGAAAGGAGGAAAAGGAGGGGAGGTGAAGGAAAATTAGGAGGGGAGGGAAGATTTGGAGGTCAAGGAAATTAGGAGGAACATGTTGTTTTATGGAGGAAAGTGAGAAGGAAAGTGTGCATTGGGAAGTGTGATGATATTATTATTTTATTAGTTGTATAATAGTAAAATAATTTGATTGTATGTCAATATTCTTTTTTTTTTCGTTGAATCAGGTACCCTCATCTTATTAAAAGAACTAGCAAGATGCTAGGAGAAAACTAGATACAACGAAAGGGGTATCACAGCGACACCCCAAGAATCTCTAAAACACGCAACCAACTACTACAGAAGGAGAGACAATAGCAAATACTAAACAAACCCAACTACATCACAAAACCCCAAGACCTTCCATTTCCTCCAAGATACATCTTGTTGCCCCAATAGTTAACAGATCTTGCTTGATCAGAGCCTGCAAGTCCGCGGGAGAATGCGAGGTCCCAGCATGCTTCCTTCGACAACGTTCCTTCCATATTGATGCCACCAGAAAGCACCAAATAAGCCCTGCAGTAGCGCCATTTTTCTTCCTGCAGAATGAGCAAGCAGCAGCGACAGTAGCTGACCAGGATGCACAACACATGGGCAAAGAACACACACCCTGCACCACCTCTCTGGAATACAGGCATTGGAAGAATAGGTGCTCACGAGTTTCCTGCCCTTGCCTGCATAACACACAAACATCATCCACGTCTTTACCCCATTTCACCAACTTATCAGAAGTAACAATGCCATCAAGCAGTATCAACCAAACAAGAAAACTGTTCCTGGGAACAAATCCATGCCCCCATACCAGTTTGTGCCATTCCACAACAGGCCATTTAGGCCTAATCCCCTCCCAAACAACACCTAATCGAAACCTGGGCATGGGAGCGTGATCCCAAAGTACCACCCCTCGCTGCACAGAGAAATGCTGCTGCAGGACCTGTCTTGTCTTCAATATCCTGCGCCAGGCCCAGGAGCCACTAGAACCAGACTTCAATGTCCAGATACAACCTTGTTTAACCCTATAGGTGATGATCCATGCCACCCATATAGTCCCACTCTGCATCAATATTAACCAAAGCATTCGAGCCGTGCAAGCTTGATTCCAGGAGTAAAGCTCTTTCAGCCCTAATCCCCCTTCTTTCTTAGGTCTTGCCATCCTATCCCAGCCTATCTTCGCCTTTCCTTCGTCAGCTCCGTGCCATAAGAAGTTGGAACAAATTTTTTGCACCTGCTTCAGGATCTTCTTAGGGAGCAAGAAAACTTGCATCCAATACTGCAGTACCCCCATAAGAACAGAACTGACTAATTGAAGCCTACCAGCATAACTTAGTCTCTGAGCTCTCCATGACTTGATTTTCTGAGTGATTTTGGCTACTAATTTTTCACAATCAGCAGCAGACAACTTCCCAGATATCAGAGGAAGCCCCAAGTAACGCACTGGGAGTATCCCCTCCTGAAAACCAGTCACTAGAAGAGCCCTACTTTTAAACAGCACTGACAATCCACCAAAATAGACTTCACACTTTGCAGGGTTACATTTCAAACCAGACATGGTATAGAACTCAGAAAGAACCTCCTGCACTTTAGAGATAGCAGTTCCCGACCCTTCAGTAAAGATTAAAAGATCATCAGCAAAACTCAGATGAGTTAGCTTCACTTTTTTACACTGTGGATGGTATGGTAGGTGACCTAGAGCTGCAGATTCATTCAACAATAAAGAAAGCCCCTCCATGGCAATGGTGAATAGGTAGGGTGAAAGCGGGTCACCCTGCCTAACACCCTTCTGAGCCCCAAAATATCCACAGAGCCCTCCGTTGATACAAATACTAAACTTGGCAGTTTTTACAGTCAACTTAATCCAGTTAATAAAACATGTAGGAAATCCCATTATCTCCATCATTAGAAACAAATAAGCCCAATTGACTGAATCGAAGGCTTTCATCAGGTCTACTTTGATAGCACAGCGGGAGGAAAGATGCATTCTATGATAGCCACTAACTAACTCTTGTGCCATTAATATATTATCCACTATCATTCTTCCTGCTATGAAAGCTGATTGATTTCCACTCATGACCTTAGGGAGCACTGATTTTAGACGATTTGCCAACACCTTAGCAATAATTTTGTACAAAATATTAATGCATGAGATTGGCCTATAGTCTTTAAAAGCACATGCAGAAGGTACCTTAGGGAGCAGGGAAACGGCAGTGGCATTGACACTACCTGGTAAACGTCCTGAAGAGAAGAAATCCTTCACACCCGCCAGGACTTCATTGCCAATAATAGGCCACGCCTTTTTATAGAACCCTGCTGAGAATCCATCAGGGCCAGGGGCCTTGTATGGATTCATGTGAAGAACCACAGCCTGGATTTCAGCTTCTGAAACAGGAGAGACCAGGAAGGCGATCTCTTGATCACCAAGTTTATTACGCACCAATAATTCCATCCTGTCTCAGTCACAGTAACCACATCAATTATTTTTTTATGATGATTAATCAAGCATTCTAAATCAAATAAAATTTATTCAACTTATATTATACAATGTTTGAAAAACACAACCGTACCGACCGGTCGAACAAGAAAAATATCGAATATCGGACCCAAAATAGTAGGCGATTTTCGCGGTAGAAAATTATTGAACTATAGTTAAACCACATTTTTAGTACAAAATAACCTACTTTCCCGGAATAAGTATAACCTCCGGCATGATTTCCCATTAGAAGCCCTTCCAGTTCGTAAATAACACTTGCCATTAGTAGACCATGAATTAAACCGAATTTGGGGTATGATACTATATATACTGTAACGTCTAATTGATAAATCCCAAATCCAATTCTCTAAACCCAAACTCGAAGTTTGAATTTGGGGTATGATACTATACTTTTGGAAAATACAAGTTATTACCATATATATATATATATATATATATATATATATATTATATTATGTCAAGCAAGACTTGTTGGAATATACAAGTTATTACCATATATATATATTATATTATGTCAAGCAAGACTTGAAGTATTAGAAGGATGTGAATATACCTCCATTTCAATAAGATTTTGAATCATCGTCTTTGATGGTTGAAGTCCATCCCGCAAAAAGTTCTCAATGACTTCACCATATGTTTTTTAAGAACACGAAACCGCTGCACCTTATTGCCTAGACATCGATGGCTAATCTGTAGGGCACAAAGATTTTATAAAACCAGAATAATTACAAATGAGCAATGAAAAAAGAGACAAGGAAAAGCTTCTACATCTAGCAGCTCATCGCATATGAATCTTGCACACTGCAGGCTTGGGTAAAATAACCATGCAATTTGGCATCGAACGAGAACTTCAAATGGAATCTGTACAAAGTAACAAGGAAAAAAGTCGCCTTCTCCTCTTTCACTCGTTTTTTCTCTAGCTCCGCCCTTTTCAATTGACGTTTCTCCTGAGCGCTCTCCTACTCTGCTCGAGCGCTCTCCTTCTCCGTCCCCTGTGACTCTCGTTATGCCCTTTCCCTCTCCATAATCAACTCCTCTTGCGTACGACTCTCTGCAACTCGGGCATCCTCCAACTTCTCCACCGCCCTTTGAAACCGACTCTCAAGTTGACGAATTCGTGTCGCCCGACCTGCAGACCGCTTCCGCTTGCATCTATTTCACGAGAGGTCTCGTCCGTTCTCTTCACCGCTTATGTCATCCGGACATGGGAAGACACCGACTGCTTCACCACCTGCAAACGAACGAAGATCAGTAATACTTAACTAGTATGATTTAAAACTTACAGATGCAAGAATTTTTACCTGGTAAAAAGACTCGGTCATCTCTAGACTGTCACCATGATTGATACTGAGGGCCTCCAAAAGGCGTGCTGCAGAAGCCCAATGGGGACAAACATTGTCGACAGTGAGCTAGAAGCTCTCGCCTTACCTGAAGTCGGGTGGGAGGGAGTCACGTTCGCTGGGTCCAAAGACGCCCACCCAATCGAACCTGAAGCATCTCTCCAAGATCCACCACTAGCTTTGAAGCCCGAGCTCCCAAATGACCTCCGAGTGATACTCACCCCCGTGTCGCCCCCAAAACTCATGGCGAACCGAGAAGGACTTGATGAGTTAGTAGTGATCCTCTTCTTGTGGACCCATCGACCTTGGTGGTTATCGAGCCCTTCAGAATCATGAGATAGAAGTTCACGAATCTCCACTCCTCGTGGCAGAGATGTGGGTTGACCTACCCTCAGAGCTGCATCACCTTGAACGGATTCCATGCTGCAAAGCAACAACTCAACATCCATAGCACCTGAAAAGAAAATGGCTTAGTAAGCAAGGTGAGCAAGAGTTCTAGAATGGCAAAACCTATTATGCAAGGAATCTTATTACGCTTTTTACCCTCATAGTAAGCCTAGATTATTAGTGACCTAATATGTTCTTCGGTATGAAGTTCAGTTGGGGGCCCACTTAAAAACTTACCGAAGTCTAAAGGAACTTTGGGTGCCTTGAGAAGTTTCCCTGGATTCTCGAGCACACTTTCATCAGGAAGCGGATCGCCACCTATCATGAGTCCCCCTGGCCAAAGCACTCAAAATCGTGATTCTTACGTAAAATTGAAAATGTGGGTAAAATTGGAATCTTAAATTGAATCGTAAAATCGTAGGATTTTAAGTTCTATCTAAAAA